CACACAGAATTCCTTAGCCAGTAAAATTTTTACCTTATTTCCATTAATCTTCATAACCGGCGTCCATCCTCCATCTCCGCACCCAAAGTCTCCCATGTGACAGAAAACAGAAATTGGCTTTGAGTCTAAGTGCAGGGCAACTTCGCCACTCTTTTTTGATCTATTCAATACATTATCGTATTATAAGGAGAGATATAGTTGAAGTTTTATGACAATGGCTTCTGCATATTCACTAGATGACATGAGACACTTATCGATTCCTTGCAGGCGAGAAGCTGATGTGGAAGATTATTATCAAGGTTATTATGCTGCATTCGTGATATAGAAGAATGACAAAATTATGCCGAGCGGACAAACTAACTGGCCAAATGGCTAACTAAACTAATGAATTACCTCAACACAGAACTGTTATTTTCATATTTTCTTGTTCTAAGTGTTTGTGTTTTTTTTGTCGCTTTATGTTTGTGAATTATTGACTTACACATTCCGGTCGAAAATTTCTCTACACGTCGAAGCTGAAACTGTAATATAAAAAGAGTAAGAAAGATTGTAAACTGTGTGCTCGGTAAACTCTTGCGCGGCCGTTTCTAGTCTGAGTCAAAGGCACAGGTAGAAAGAAACGAACTTGGAAATGATGATAGAAAACGCTCGTTTTCAGCGTACTGCGGGGAGATTTTTGGTATTGAGACGCTTTCCAGGGTGCAATAGACTTAGGTCGTAAGCTGTGGGTAAAAAAAAAAAAATGCCTATCAGACTGATTTTCTCTCGCCTCCGCGTGGGCAACGGTCAAAATCGTAATGAGCAGCCTTGACCTCGCTTGATAACAGGAAAAACAGTGATGGCAAAGCAAGCCCAAAGCAACAGAAATCGCCAGAAACCACAACGGACACACAAAGAGTGAGTAATTTTGATCAATTTTACACCTAAGATGTTCATATATCGGAACATTTAGTGTTCTAAATGGACCATATTTCGTTCCAAATACTATTCATCATAACGCATTCAAATACTCAACGGCTGCTAGCGTAACTTAACACCGCGTCACACGACGCGTGACGTTTTTATTAAATGATCCTTCCCCTTTTTTCGATACGTGAGCTTGGGACGCCTGTGGAAAAATATTTTGCAATTTTGGAGCAGCTCTCTAACCAAGAGGGCCATCAAGGCAGTTGTGAGATGGTTATGGTGAGATTTTATATTATGCCGAACATAAACTTTTACTATCACTTTAAGAAGTTGTATGTAAAAATGGAGCCCACACAAGCCTACGTCTGGTTTCACATGACAGGGTTTACCTTTTTCACAGTTCGGACCTCTGAATCCAGTGGTACACAAACAGCGATATCTTTTGTCGATAAAACCGCTTTGACAAGTACCATTGTTTTTACAAGGGTTATGAGCACAGGCGCTCTGAAGCCAAAAGGAGAAAAAATATTAACAATCTTAAAATCATACCTTGAAATATCAATTTGCAAGATGGGTGTTCGTTTTTTTCTAAATTTAAGTCTCTAACTTTTAATCAGAGCAATTCAAATAAAAGAAAAAGGAATCAGAAAACATGGGGCACTTAAACAAAAAAAGTGATGATGATCAAAAAATAAATGTCATTGATAACAAAGTTAAAGCAATCATCTCAACACTGAAGATTATGAAAGTGGTACTTCACCGAGACTAGTCGTCTGCTAATGAAGTAACACCTACCACAGATGCATGATAAAATTCATTTTCATCCTCTTTCAGATCGAGTTTCAGTCCTTCGTGAGTAACGTTACTGAATTCACAATTGTACCCACGGTGTTGACGAAATCGTTTTTCAAGGTTAACGCTGACACAGTCGAGTTCCATACACATATTTCAACAAAAAATAATTGTTATGACCTCAACGAAGCGTATTTGGTCGTTTTTCAAGATTACTGCCCCCCACAGTTGGCTCATATGAAGTAAAGAGTCTCAGAGTTGATGATAAAAATAGCTTCTTACCTCAAAGTAATAGTGATACGAATTCTTATTGTCTTTGTATTCGTTAGGACTGCTGTATTTATCAGTTGACAATAACTCACACCACAGTTGTCCTTCAGTGGCCAGGTTCACGGAGACACACAGAGGGTGGTGATTGCATTTAAAGGTGCATTCAAAGTCGTC